GTGTGTGTGTGTGTGTGTGTGTGTGTGTGTGTACCTCATTGAGATAAACCACAGGGAAGACCACTGTCCTCACATTTCCTGTTTGACTGAAAATAAAACAAGAAAAAAACAGTTTTTCACTCTTGATCTCGTAGTCAACATTATTTATCAGTCTAGGGATCTGAGTGAAATATGTTTTGGTCTCTGTTAATTCTGGACCAACTGAGAATAAAAAGTGTCTTCCATCAAGACTGCGAGGGATTTAACTGTAAAATATGACGGGACATAAAAAAGTGGCCATGCGAGGAAAGAAGGTTCCTAAAAAAGAAAGTCTGTCAGTGTCATCAAGCAGCTGGACTGTTAGCCCTGCGTTGAACATCTCCCTCATCTTGATTTTTTTAACAAGGAGTTTGTATTTCTTTGTTTCAAATCAAACATTTGATCCAGATCTACATCTAGATTTTAAATGATCTAATTGTTTTTTTTTTCCAGAAGTGAGTCAGGACTGTTCAAAAGTCCACTAATCATGATGATGGTGGCAAAATAGCCTTTTATCTTCCAGACTGCCCTTCCCAGTTATGCTTCATCATACAGGCAGTTTCACTTAAAGCAGACATGGTGACAGTGAGATTTGTGAAGAACTGCGTAACATTTCAAACATACTGTAACAAGTGACAGACAACAGAAATGAGTTAATTACCTGAAGGAGGGGATTTTCTCTATGTAGACATTAATCTGTAGTCGCTTGGCTGCTTGTAGAACAATTCCTGTTAGCTGCAAAACAGAAACCAACTTTGTTAGGAGCAGCTCTGAACTCCTTTTTACCCTGACCCATAAACAATACTTCAAATAATACAAAGGCAACATCTGAGATCCTACAGTTACAATATTTTACATGAGTGTTGGGAAGAAAAACTTAAAATCTAACCAGTTTTTCATCGATTACATTCAGATCACAGCAGATTTTAATTTTTTTTAAAAATCAGCCACGCTTTTTTTATTATATTCCTAAGTTGCCTGTAGTGTCTACACATTCTTCACAATAATATCAAAACTGAAACCAACTTAAAGTTGAGGTTATAAAACACACTGGGGTCAACTTCAGCAAGTAATCTGGGACAGCTGAGGCCCAAACCTGCAACTGTCTGATCAAAAAGACCACCAGTCCACCTGCTCTGAAGCTGCCGGGGAGCGTGGCCGAGTGGTAAACTTGTTTGTTCTGACCCACTGTTTGCAGCTTTGATCAGAGGACTTTGTTCAGTCTCAGTAAATCTCCTGCAGTGACATGGCAAAGACAGGAGTCCAGGAAGGAGGTCGAATAAAGGGGAACCAGAAGCTTGTTCATGCTTTTAAAGATATACGTAGAACGGCTGGCACGAACAGCAAGAAAATGGATGGATATCTTTATTAAATATGAAAGTTTATATCACACCTACAGGCAGGGTTCCTACGTTTTAGATTCGTTGATGACAAGGCATTTTACTCATTTCTAATATTTTGGTGCACAAGTGTTAACTAATTTAAAATATCTCAAAAGGTGCAGGAAAAAATGCAGAATTGATCAAAAGGAAGTAATGCTTCCTGGTTAAAAATTCAACTTTAGCTGATTTATTGTAACACAGTCATATTGAATAACAAAAGTACACAATGGCGCTGAACTGTATGCTTCTATTTTTAAAACTATTAGGTAATATCCTTGATTGGTTATCTACTTTTAGAGACACGAGCTGTTTATTCTGTAAGCATATTATTGGTGAGCTCTATCTCTGTTTCTGCAAAACACAGTAAACAGTAAAATCAAAAATACAAATGGTGCACTGAGATAGAATATAGGTAAACATTGTTCTTACTATTTTTACATCGTCCGAAGAACTACTTTCACTTGTTTATTCAAGCATTCTGGATGATTACAGAACAACAAAACCACTAACAGTGTAGATTTTTGGTGCATGTGCAGTGCTTTTCTACGCTCCTATCAAAGATTTTCCCACACATAATCATGTTATTAGTTATTAGTTATTAGCCCTGATAAGAGCTGTCAAAGCTTATCTTTGGTGACAGCTCCGTACCATGTAGCTCTGCTTTAATTTTTAACCAGTTTTCTGGCTCACTGTAAGCACTAACAAAAGTGAAACAGTTCACCGCCTAGTGGTGTGTTTTGATATTGCATGCAATTAAAAAAGCAAATGCTTAAGTCAACTCCAAAAGTTCATCAGTCATGGAGGTACATTAAACTTTTATTTTATGTGAGTTTTATTCAACTTTATCCACTGGTTCATGAAATTTTTTGGTAACAAACACTTGGGCTGCCTTAGCCTTAAGGCAATAAAAGTTTCATGACTTGAAAGAATAAAAAGATAACAACAATGCATAAAGAAGTCATATGATGGAGTATTTTTTTTTTTACTGGATTGATGTCGATGACAGTCTCATGGTGCTCCTTTTTAGGCTTCATGCCAGAAATATCCTGAGCAAATTTCTCATCTGCCAGGTAAAAGTGCGGTGAGGACATTATGATGGGAGCGCCTAAAGAAGCACAAATTGAAATTATTAATCAAACTGATTTAGGAAAATTGGCTTTTTTTTCCAAGAAAAAAATCCATTTGAGTGCCATGTAGGGGTCACCCTGAGGAGGAATCAACATTTCCACCTGTCTTTGACTCTGGTTTCAAAAGAGACATTTTATTTTATTTTCTTTAATAAACAAAATAATGTTCTTTATATTGTTGATTTATATTTTCTTTTAACTACAAGTTATTATCATTTTATAAATCAAAGTTACATAATGAAAACAATGACAATCTATCTTCTTGCATTATAACTAAGAAAAAGAAAAAACACACAAAAAGAATATTGTTCCAATGTTTCTTTATTTGTTTTACACAAATCTTTGTTTTAATCAACTGTTATTTGACAGTAAAGTGATTATGTGTTTCTCTTTTTATTTTTCAATTTAACTAAACTGATCATTGTGATTATGAGTTCACTTTTTTATTATGAAATATATATATATAAAGTTATTTGTGTTTGAATCATAGACAAATAATTTAAGATTTATTTCCGTTTAAATAATTCACGTATATTTCATTGAACTTAGTTCATTTTCATTCAGTGTAATCCTGTCCAGGTTTCAAACTGTTTTTCTGTGCAGGTGCTGATGTTTTAACAGACCTATGGCAAACGCCCCAGACTAAACTTCTAATTCTTCCTCTTAACTAACCCAAAATTCGAGGTCACGTCCCTAGTTCTTTTTCTCTTTAGAAATTACCCTGGCATAGTCCTCGACACAGTGAGAAAGGAAAGAGAGAAGAAACCATTTTTTTGTCTCACTGGGCTATCTTTCCTCCACAGGAAAAAAATCAGCATTTGGCTCTTTTGCTAACAAGCACATCGTTTTTGCTTAGGGTCGCGATACCTTCAATCGTGATCTAAAACAACCCGCTCTGAAGCTCCATTAAGTTTTTTAAACTTCTGATGAGAAGTCTTTTATTTTGAAGAAAAAAACTGAAACAGATTTGGCTCACTCCTTTGGACAGAGGCAGATTTCCGGAGACGCTGTAAACCAAACCTTTGGAAGTTTTTACTGGCCGTAAGGGACCTGACCTGAGTTTCTTACCGAGTGAATTCTTCCTACCGCTTAACCTGACGGTCAAGACACCTCCAGGTAAAAGCTGAATGTTTTGACTAAGTGGACTGGAGTTCGGGCTGACATGTCAGCTGAGATCCAAGTGTTCGTTCAGGTTTTTCACATATTGATAAGCTAAAAGGTTAGGACTAACATCCTCCATTCTTTCCTTTTCTTAAACTTAAACCTTGCTATATAAGTTTCATACATCTGGTTTATTAAGACCTTGAACCTGAAGTTCTGCTGTTTCTGTTTGAGTTGTCATATCGACATTAATTAGTGCGGACGCGTGCATATTTTTGTTGCTGTTTTAACTCACCACAAATTTGATTGTTCACAATAAGCTGTACATTAGTAACTTATTTGATTCTGTAAATAAAAATCATTTATTTTAGATCAACTTAAGTTCCTGAGTATGTCCACTTATTGTGTGATATTCTCATATTTATAAAGAGAAGTGTTTATTTCCTTAAAAAGAAGAACTCGTGATTTTCCTCATCACTTTGGTTATGAGAAGGTGTAGGTTGTATCTCTAACCCTAACCATTATGTAACTTTGATTTATAAAATGATAATAACTTGTAGTTAAAAGAAAATATAAATCAACAATATAAAGAACATTATTATGTTATAAAATAAAATAAAATAAAATGTCTCTTTTGAGGAAGGTCTTGAGACCAGAGTCAAAGACAGGTGGAAATGTTTACTCCCCTTCGGGGTGACCCTTACAGCCATTAAAGCAGCTCTTGTCTCGTGTGTTTCCCACCTTGCTTACACACGCTGACGTTGAGCAGGCCAGAGCCGAGGCAGTCACCGGCTGGCACACAGAAGCCTGCGTTGGCCGGGTTCACGGTCAGATTGGCAAACACCTCGTAGGGGGGAACAAAACGATACCCGGGGATCCCCTTCACTGTCACGTCCTCCGCGTACAGAGCGTACACAGACCTAAGAAACAGAGTCACATGCAGGGCAGCTATGAAAACAGAAAGGATATAAAAGTGTAGCAAAGAAGAAAAGCTGGACATCATTTTTTTTTATAAGAGCTTTACGTTCATCTGATTTCCTGAAAACCCAAGTGGCAAAAACAGTTTTACAATCAGTGTTCAAAGGTTGCTTTAACCGTGGCTCTTAAGATTTTTACTGAGGAACTTGAGCTGCACTTCCTCGTTCTGATCCGTTTACAGTCAAGGCTGATATTTCTTGTTTCAAGCATCATTATTTAAGAAGCCAGCACTAACCGGAAATTCAACCAGCTAAGTCGTGCTTAATTCAGTCTCTGGACCTGGATAATACTGAGGATAAGGACAACTAGTGGGGGAGGCATTTCCCTATAAGTCGTAAGCTTGTGGTGGTCCAGGGCTAAAACCAGAAATGCTGGATCAGCAAAAGCGGACACGAAACAAGGAAGATATTATTTCTTATAAGGAAGACTTAAAACAGGGCTTCAAACATCATTGTGTCCAATCAACGTAAAACTGAACAAAACAAGCTATGTTTGGACAGCAGAAGCATCTCACCTGCACAGGTCAGAGGAGAACATATAAAGGACCTCATCCTTGGTGACGATTGGATGGAAAAATGCTCCGTTGGTTCCGTTAATCATGTTGCACTCATCAGACGTCCACCAGTTCAAAGACCTGAGTTCATACACACAATTATTAAATTTAAAGTAAAAACAACTCTCACTTGTTTGATTAACTGACAGTTGCATGTGAAAGGAGAAAAAGTACCTGCTGCCCTGCCATGTGTCCACTCTGGCAAAGTCCATGTAGTCCTGCTGGCCAGTGAAGAAGACATATTCTCCATCGCTCGAAGCATTGTTCTTATAGAAAAGTCCAAAAACGTCATCGATTGTAGGGTCAACTTTTTGGGCATATTTGAGCAAAGGGTCTTCATATCCCCACAGGAACTCCCCCACTGTGTGGGTGGTGAACAGGCCTATATTTTGAAACCTCATGAAGGCAGATACCAGTTTGGCAACACCAGAATCCTTGAAACGTTCCATCACCGTCTACCAGAACAAAAAGAAGAGGGCAATGACAACGTTTAAAAAAATGTCCTGATGTAAAAGCATGAGTCAAAAACAAATGTGCAGATCATGCTGCAATAACTCAGGAATGTAAGGAATGGTTCGAAAATATTGTTTTTTTTTCCATGGAATAAAACTAGTAATTTTGTGACAACCTAAAGTTGCACACGATTTAGTTCATTGTTTTCACTTTTTTTTTCTTCACTGCCGACTTAATTAGTGATTCTTGTCACCTGTGTTAGTCACAGTGACGGTCCCTTTAAGAGCCGCCCACACACACTGTTTGTGTGTTCGTTTCACTTGATGGCCAGACCCAGGTGCACAGCAGCCTTCTGGCACCTGCGTCATCTTTAAAGTTCAGTGACGAGGAGTTTAATCCCTCTGACAACTTTGTTTTCAATCGCCGAGTTGAGGATTTATGCTGAAGCCGAACCAACAAAATCTAAAAAGATATAGAGAAAAGTCTGCTGGAACCGACGCCCAAAAAGCTTCGTCTTGTCGTGTCGTTCCCCACAGCAGTAACCACTCGCCGACAAAGCAAAACGTAAGTCTCCTACGAAAAACTAAAACTTAAAATTAATGTCTAAATAACATAAAACTAAAGAAAATTATTTTTTCTTTCAGTAAAAACCTAAAAGCCTTTAAATACACCAGTCGTCTTTAAAGCACACAACAAAAAAGTAAGTCTGTTTCATGTTGATCAAAGCTACTGAAATGACGATGAAAATAAATGGTAACTGTATTATCTCTGTGTTTTTTTTTTTGTTTTTTTTTTTAGTTCCTGGAAAGTGGAGTTTTGAATGAGGTGTTTTATTTTTATTACATTTTTTTTGTATAGGTGTATTTTTGGTATTATTTGTTAGGAGTGTATATTTTGTTGCATGACGTCTGGACTGAGTTTCACCTCAACCTGCATCAAGCCTCCTGCACTTGCTTGTGAAATCAAGTCAAGCCATCCTCCTTTCTCTTCTTGCTGGTGAAGCCTAGCTGGAAGCTCATTTTTTGGACTCTGAACTGTAGTGGTTTTACACCACATTTGCACACTGGGGGGGAAAAAGGGGGAATTTGTTTTGTGTTTTTTGTGTTTTGTACTTGCAGTCTATTTTTGTTTAAATAATATATTTGAAAATTTAATACCTTGTTTCTGTGCTCATTTCCTTTGCTAAACATTTTTGTCACTTATTTAAAGTTGAACAGGGTCTGTAGTTCTTTTATGTAGTTTACATGTCCTGATGTGTCTGGTTAACTAAAACCATATATTAAAACTAACGGTAAAATCCCACATTCCGGTTGAACATCCTATTCCCAGGAGGGACACCTAGCTGGCACCCCAAATAAATTAATCAAAATAAATAACAATAAACCGGTACCGTCACAATTTTGACTTTTTTCATCATTTGACTTCTGCACCAAGTTACTGCCAGAAATATTAGTAAATAAAAGGAAAATGAATTTATAGATATGACATGATTCAGTAGCTTTGTAACCATGCAGATCACGTTCTCATTATTTTTACGAGAGTTATTAAAAAACTACTTTTAAATGAAAATGGTTATTTTGTGTTGTATGAAACAAACTTTTACACAAGTATTTTATCTGAATTTCTTGTTTATGTAACTTTACAACATGTGCCTTTTGAACAAACCATTTATTACTTCAAACTAAATGGTACCATCCGAGTTTCACTAAAGATGAAATCTATCGACACTTTTACATAAACTAAACCCAAACTTCACAAAGAAGTCATAATTAGTGACAAGTAAAAGAAAAATATATCAGGTTTCGCTAGACTTTTTTTTTTGCCGTCCGTCATTTTGACTGAGAGGGTAAAAAAATGTCATTTTCAGTTTTTACCTGTCACTTTCTTTTTTTGAATGATAATGACTAAACATTCATAGAATGTGGCCATTGTCATGTTGGTTTTGCAGTTCTGCCTCAGATGCTGTGACTGCAGGATTTTATTGGAGAAAACCTCATCAGCGCACCTCAGACAGGCCCCATGAGCGCGATGAGCACGGTGCTGAAAAACAGCGCATATTACCCACACCAGGTCCAACGCACACACACTGACCCGCTTTTGACTAGTTACCGTATGAAAAAAAAATTTCTACAAACATTATTTAGTGGCTGCAGTTTGCAACATTATAGATAACGCCTCCTTATTTCTGTCTCTGCCTCCCTTGCAGGAGGATGATATATATAATTAAATAAAAACAGAAAACGAGTAGATTTGATTTATGCAATAAAATATCTCTAAGGAAAATCTCACGTTACGCACATCTGCGCCAAACCTCTGAAGTTTAAACCCGCGCTTTGCTGCGACACTGTTGGAATAACAAGCACCACTTCAGCCAAAGTTTTAAATCAGAAAACATTTCTCCAGTCAAAGTGATCAGAACTCAGCAAGACCAAGTTCTGGGTTTAGCAGGAGGAAATCCCGCAGCGTGCGCTCGCCCTGCACCACTGCTTCAGCTGCGCCTCAGATGCGCTCCAAATCCTCCTTTCCTCAATGCGCTGTCAGCTCCTGGATTTCAGTATGGTGTCTAGATCTGAGATGATGATCAGATGGGGATGTTTTATTTATTTTAGATTAAATAAGACCTCCGTGATGTAGACCTGCGTAAAGCTGAAAATGTCTCTGCGTGAGTGTGTGTGATGCCACAGAGCCGTCTTGTGAAGCCTCGTTGATCTTTTTTTCTCCGCCTCACCTGGCTTATGTACAGTGGTTTGCAAAAGTATTCATACCCCTTGAACTTTTCCATATTTTGTCACATTACAACCACAAACATAAATATATTTCACTGGAATTTAATG